CGCGCTGTTTTAAAGCGCCCTTCTGTCGCCGCGCTGTTGTCGCCGCGGTGATGACGTTGCGGTGATGACGTCGCGGCTTTAGCGACGCAGTTTTGTTGCCAGCTTTAGCGCGGTTTTGTCGGGCTACGGTGAAGGCGCCTTCCAGACCTGACACCCGGAAGGAGTAACTTTGCCCGGCTCACTGCCTCTGCTCTCCTGTCGGCCGGGAGAGGGGGAGGCGTGAAACCGTGGTCGCTGGCAGTGGCACTTTGGGTTGTGGGCAGTGGGCTCCAAGAAGTGGCTGCCAGGGCTTCATGAAAACTTCATGAGAAGTTTTTCTTTACTGTGCAAGATGTTTCCCTGCACAGAGCGGCCGAGAGAGAGAAGTGGTGGAGCTGCCAGACTCGAATAAGATGCGCGCCCCACTCCGCCCCATCCCCTGCCCCCCACCTGCCATCTTGTGTCCGAACATCTTACGCAAGGTTTCCTTTGCTGCCTGCGCACTCCAGGTGGCCAGCAGTTAAGCCGGCAATTGGCCAGCTGCCTCTAATCTGTGTCTGTGCCCGGCTCCTGCACCCTTGTCCGACCGCACTGCCCTCTCGCTTTTCTCCCTGCCTCCTCCGGCCGATGGTGCTGGCCAAGAGATAACAGAAAGCGAGTCTGTAGAGGAGGAGGAGGGCGCGTGGCTCTGCGATGTGCACCAGGGAACTGGGAATGAAAGCATTTTCAGGTGGCAGTGCGCGCTGGAACTGCCTGCCACCTGAAACACGATGCCCTTTTTTTGGCCTCTGCACGCGCCCTTTTTGGAATCAGGGAGGGGATTTTGATGCAACAGTCCAAAAATGCTTTCACTGAGAAGGCTTTCATCACAGTTCCCCCGGGCAGCTTTCGGGAATCAGGCTCCGACTGAGGTAGCAAAGACGTTAACCAGAGGAATACTGATGAATACTGCTGGGAAAGAGGCAAAAAAGGTTTTTTTCCTGATTTCCTCTCCCAAAATTAAGGTGCGTCTTATACTCCGGTGCATCTTATACTCTGAAAAATACGATAATCATTAATGACTCCAGCTGTCAGAGGTGGAGTGATCAAAATCTTTACACGTAGCAGTTATTGGATGATTGTTGGTTATAGCTAGCCATATAAGGGGGGTTTTATTCAGCCATTCTTTTGCTTGGAATTATTTTTGGATTTTCAACTTTCTTGTCCAGTTATCTGGAAGGACGCAGCTACTATTTCTCTCTCTTAAATTTGCAGCTCTGTTCCCTCTTCAGGTAGCATGGGACGTGACGATGATGCAGCTTCCACTTTAGGTAGGTGAATACTTTCCTCTCTCCACCAAAAAAAAGAAACCAATTTTAACAGCTTTACCGCAACTAGCTGTTTTGTGATCGGAGCTACGGCAGGGCTCCCCAACAACCCAGTCTGTGGAGCGGTACTGCGCTGCAGCATGCCAGAGAAACCAGCCGCGCAAACAAACGGAAGCCCCCTCCGTGGGATGCAGGCAGCATGCAAAACCATGCCCCCCCCCCCCCAGTCTGCGAAAGGCCATCTCTCCACGGAACCGGTCCCTGGGGTCAAAAAGCTGGGGGCCCTTGGGCTACGGCATCTTCTTTCTCAACTGCTACTACATTCTTACATCAGAGATTCTATAGCTAGCTTCTTGAAAGAAAGAATTCAGTTTGAATATACTGCCCCCTGATGGCCGTTGCTGGTTAACATCTTTTCCCTTTAGCCCTAAAATGTGGTGTCTTGAGCCACTGTTAACTTTAACAGAATGCCCCACTAGATTCATATTTTTTTTAAACTGACATGGTGCAAAACAAGCAGCCTAATTGTCTTAATTGAACAATGACTGCAGTTCTTTTTCCAGTTCAAAAGTTTTATTTCTTTTAAAAACAGACATTTCATCATTCCTCAATTAGTAAAACATTGAAGTACAATTTTTGTACAAGTACAAGTTTCTAGCCTAATGTATACCCCTCCCTCTCTCCCCCCTCCCCCCAACCCCCC